TTGTACACTCAGGTTCATAACAGTTTCTTCACAATAGCTAAAGCATGAATGCAAACTAAGTGTGCATTGAGAAATGAATGGATAGTAAAATGCCTGTCTTGTCTGTCTCTCTCTCACACACATACACACAATGAAATATTATTGAGCCTTAAAAAATGGAGAATATTTTGACATAATATTTCAATAAGACTGAACTTGGATTTAATAACCACTTTTATGCTACCAATTCCCAGATCTGTAATATTATTCAAGATTTTTCTGCTGAGTTTCAGATTCATATTTCTATGAGTACATTATACTAAGTGAAATAAGCCAATCACACACACACACACACACACACACACAAAACAAATACTGTATCTTTTCACTTATATGACATGCTTATAGTATTCAAAATCAGAGGACAGAAAGTAGAATGGTGCTTGCCAGGGCCTGGTGAAAGAGAGATATAAGGTATTGTTATTTAATGGGTACAGAGTTTCAGGTTTGCAAGGCTGAAAGGGTTATAAAGATGGATGGTGGTGACAGTTACAGGATGATATAAGTATCCTTGATACCAATGAAATGTATATTTTAAACTGCTAAGAATAAAATGTATGTTATTTATAATTTATCAAAATAAAAATGTGAAAAATAAACCTTGATTTTTTTTCTAGTTTACTAGCATTTGGTTTATCTTTTGCATTGATATCTCACCCACTTCTTTCCCCAAAGGTATTATCTCCATCAACTAATTCTTATCAATCTTTCATTCTAATTTTTCAATCTTGTTTCTGCTTTGGAGCAAGCCATTCAAAGTGCTAAGGTCACTGAGGACCTCTGACATGCTAATACACAGATGCTTTTCAGTCTGTCTTTCTGAATTTCTCTGTTGTACTTGACACATTTGCTTAATTGCTCCTTCCTGAAATGCTCAGTTCCCTTTGCTTTTGGTACTCCATATTATTTTTTCCTTCTCATTTCTGTTCCACTTCTTCCTTAGCTACCACAGGAGTCTATCTGTGTTCCCACTTAGGCTGGCATGGAATAGAGTTTACACTTTGTTTAATTTGTCAGCTTTTCCTAAAAATTTTTCCTCAGAAATACTATGGCTTGGATTTAATAACCACTTTTATGCTACCAATTCTCAGATCTGTAATATTATTCAAGATTTTTCTGCTGAGTTTCAGATTCATATTTCTAATTGCTGACTGCATGTTGGGGTGTTTCATCAGCATCTCAAATGTAACATGATGGAAATGAAACACCACCAGACCAACCTGGTCCTCCTCTGTGTCTTCATTTTAGTTGGTAGCACCACCTTCCACACACTCTTCTTGTTCCCCACCATGTTTCCCTGAGCATATTTCAAGCTATGGTTTCCTCTCTTAACCCAATCTGGCTGCTTTTCCTTTTTATTATTTTATCCTAGATTTTTGGCTTTTGGATGATACTCCTTCTTGTTTGCCCATGCGACTATATTTTGTAAAAACTATGAATAAACCTTTTCTTTCTGTTGAATGATTTGAGATGTGATCAGAGGCTGCAGTATGGACAGAGTGCACCATCTTGAACTGAAATTGGTGATGGTGTATCTTGGCATAGACAAATTTTGTAACAAATAAATTCATAATCAAGAAATACTGTAAAATAAATAAGTAAATTTTTGGTTGATATATGACACCTCAAAATCTTAAATAATTTTATAGCTATTTTATTAGGATTGCTAGTTTTTATTATTATTACAAAAATGGAGGCCCTAAGATTTAGAGGCAGGTGATTTCCAGGTAAGTGCCACAAAAGTATTTATGAAATTCTTGTGTGTAGGTAAAGACCATTCGGGGATGACTGTCAAGCTTACATTTAATTCACACTGGTACATTTCCTCAGAAAATATTTTTCATTAGAAAAATATACACCTCAGTGATGTTGTACCTTCTGGGCAGCCAGCCTGATGCTTTGCTGTCTAAGCTAGAATCTGTTTTAAAAATTATAAGCCAACACATAGCTACACCCACACCCATGTCTGCACATGCACGTCTGTATACGCTCCACCACTGCAAGCCTGCACACTTGATCTGCACCTCCCCACTCCAGTATATGTCTGGAAGAATGTCCACAAGGATCTCAAACAGCATGAGATTTATGAATCCTGTGCAATATCACAGCCAGCCAGCCACCAGCGCTGGCACTAGACTGTAATCTTGTACTTAGTTGTGCTACCACTCCTTCATAATAAAATAGCAAATTGAAGTGATTTTCAAATAGTGTGGGAGACCAAAGGGAAATCTTTTCTGCCTCCAGTCAGCACAGAAGGCTATTAATGAGCCATGGATGGCTCCCTATGATGCAGTGCATTTAGCCACTTCCTCCTCTGTGATCAGAGAAGCTGTGATTATCAAATTCTAAAGCAGTAGTTTGAAAAATGACTTCACTTTTGAGAATTTATGGGCTATATAGACTTATATATTTTATTTCTGCTTGCCACGGGGAGTTGAGTGCCCGCTATTGACATAAAGTTTATAAAGCCCTTTGTGCTTCTGGCATAGAAGGGATAATATTACAAAGAAGGGTAAGAATATTAAAGAAGGGTGATGCAGGAGCATTAGCCTTGTTTATTGCCTCCACTCATTGATTTTTTTTTAGTATCTTAGCTTTGAATTAAAAAGAAATTTAAAACACTATCACCTAGCTAAACTTCTGACCACCCCCCTGTTTTTTTTTTTTTTTGCATTTTAACCATTTAATTTTATTTTAGTAGAAACTGTATGTGAAGAGGGAGTGATAGCAGTGGACTTATAAGGAAAAGTAGTAAGCAAGTTAATTAAAAGTACTAATAGGATATGCGAGCATGGCTTTTTGAGTCATGGACACTTGAATTGGATTCCTTCCTCTTTCATTGGTCCACATATAACCCTAAAAGCTTTACAGTAATCAACTCAATCCTTATAATATATGCATATTTGAACAGGTACTATTCAAATTCCTGTTTTATAAATGAGTCAGAAGTATAGAGGAATTGATAGCATTCTTGTTTGAGGTTACATAGCAAGATTAATGTAGATGGGTGTTCAGGTCCTTAGAGTGGTGGTTTACCATCAGGTAAACATTGACTTTTTTCTTCAGACCTTCAGCTAAGGTCAAACTACAAAGTATATAATAAGAGCTGAAAAATATTAACTTTCAAAATTTAGATCATGGAATATACCATGTATAAACATGGATTAGTATATTTATTTATTTATTTTGGTACTGGTAATTGAACTCAGGGGCATTTAACCATTGAGTCACATCCCCAGTCCTTTTTAATATTTCATTTAAGGACAGGGTCTCGCTGAATTGTTGAGGGCTTCACTACTTTGCTGAGGCTGGCTTTAAACTCACTATCCTCCTGCCTCAGTTTCCTGAGCCACTGGGAATACAGGTGTGTGTCACCATGCCTGACTAGGATGTTTATAAGTAAATGTTTTGTTTATAACGTATCGTTGGCTTTTTATAACATATTATAATGGATTCATGATTCAGCAGAATAAGAATTATATCTGAAACTAACATTTCTCACCTAATTTGCTGGTGTAGTCATTTAACCCAATTTTCAACAGCTATTGATGATGAAACATTTTGATATGTTTCTGATGAAATTATGTTTTTGAATAAACATAATGGAAGGATGCATTTCAAGTACCATAGGTGGTCCTGATAAATTTTTCTAAAATAATTTAGGACATTTACTGGTGAAATGAATATAGCTATAAAATAACACATTCAAAAATGGCTACAGAAAAGAATAAACCATTCATGTTCCAAACACCTTTGAATTTCCTTTTGCCTTAATGAGCACATGTGGTTGAGAGTATGCATTATGAAAGTGGTACTGCTCTAGGATTTTGCTGAATTCAGCTTCTGTATTAAATCAGGACATCATGTCCAGTCACAGTGTAAGTACATCATCGCCGCTAACACTGAAAGCAATTGGAAGAAGAGGGCACAGAGTCAAGAAAAATAAATGAAAATGAGATAAAGAGAGAAAAGTGATATGCAAAGGGAGCACATTCAAATAACATGGGCAAAAAATAAAGTGAAGAAAGAATGCCTCATTTTCACATGAATATAGAGAGAAATATAATACGTTCCAAAAGGCAAAATTTCAGTCATTTTGTAATCAAGTAAAATGATTATGTGTATTATTAGACAGATATTAAAGAATGCAGAGATGTGCAAATATATGACCTCTGCCAGGGATGAAAAATATTTATGGTAATGATTTTTTATGTTTATTTTTTTCACCATCAATGAGGAGTTTCCAAGCATATGATGGCTTTTTAAATATTAAACATGTTATGAATACACTTTGAAATATAACTTTCTGGTACTTGCTCAGCTTTGTTATTTTATACCATTATAGAAAACAACGTTTTAGTTTTTTTTGTATACACTATACTGTTAAAGAGAAGTCACTTTAAAAAGAAAGCTTTAAAATTTTTATTTTAAAATAAATCACCACTGAAGGAATTATATTTCTTCTTTTGTGAACAGTCCTTCAAATAAACTTAAGAAGGAAAAAATTGATAGAACTATCTTTCTGAAGCAAACTTGAGTCATTTTGGTAAGCTATCAGGAACTGAAGGGTCTCAGCATTATAGACAGTGGATAAAATATCATACTAAATTATTAAATGAGTGGCTGTGGGAGGGGATGCAGTTTCATTTCCTTCTTTATGATAACATCATTCGAAATATATATATATATATATATTAACATATACATACATACACAAAGACATATGTATTTTAATATGGCAAGTAAATTTACAGAAGAAATCAATTATAAAGTGTACATCTTATTCCCTTAAAATATTCTAAAGTATCACAATATCAGAGAAATGCATGTTAGAGAAATTGCTGCTATTCTTTACAGAAAACCCATGCATAACATTATGCAAAATTTAATTTACAATAAATGATTTCAAATCTAGAACTGAGAATAGCTTATTTAAATGCTATCAGAAAAGAGCACCTCACCCTCAAAAAGGAATCTAGGGATCCATTCTCCATATATTCCACCACAATCATTACTGGTCTGCCTGCAAAAGAGCAAGAGAACACATAAGGATTAGATCAGTTACAGAAATACAGCAGTTAGAGCTTTCCAGCTGTGATATCTAAATTATTTGTATATTATTAATAGGAATGTCATTTCCCAGCCACTTCTATAAAATTATACTCATACAGATGGATCTCCTCATTCCTTTCTTTATAGCATTATTTCCTTTTAAGTTTATAAAAGGTACATGAAGTATATTATGAATTACAAAGAAATTAAATATTTCTTTTCCTAAATGCCTGCAATCACTTGTTTACATTATGCTCCCTTTGTCCTCTAGCTTTTCCTTAAAAAAAGATCAACAAGTCAAGGTCAGGGTTTTAGTAGTTACTGCTGCTGCTTTAACAGTTGTGGTACACCTTCGAAGACAGTGCAGCAATTTTGTCTGACTGATATTTGAATGGGCATTTCTGAAATAATCCTAAAACAAAGCAGAAAGGAGAAATTCATAAATTCTCACTGACAACATATAAACAGTCAAGCATACTCCTGCTTTGAAGGGATTTCAAGCAGAACAATTTCCATGGACTGATGGATGCCCCAGAGTTGGTAGGATTTGTGAGTTCCTGCTCATTTCTTTATTGGACGTAGATTTGATCAACAGAGCGATGGTGGCGGTACAAGAAAAATAAGCAATTCTGGTTTTGTAGTCTGGTGCAGAAGCTAAGATCAGAAACTAAACTGAAAATCATTTATTTCTTGTTTGATCATATCAATTGTTACAGTTCCCAGCACACCTCTATTAAGTAGAATATTTGACATAAATAACTTTGATTTGTTTCAAAGAACAGAATGCATTTGTTCTGGCCAATTGCTCAAGTTTAAAAGATAAAGTTTCAGATGAAGAGAAAATTATTTTTACCTGAAATAAGTATATATGACATATTTACTTTTTACATCTATATTTCTTGATTCTCATTAGAATTTTTGGCAAGTCAGACTGGACTGAGCATGGTTTTTCCTTACGACACAAAAAAAGTTCTGGAAAGAAATTGTGTGCATGAGCACCAGTGATGGAAATATTAGATCTCATTGTAATTCATGTCTTTCTTATGAACTCAGAGCCTTACAGGTTAGAGAGGGTGACCGTCACAAATTACAACCATGTATGCAAATGCTAGATTTTACATTGGATCTGTATTTTCAAGAAAGATGTGCTAAAGGTTAAATGTAGTAATAAAATTCCTAATTTATCATGCATAGAATTAGAACCCAAAGAAGTTTTCATTTATACTGAATGTTAACCTATATTCTATAATGTTCCTCAAAGCTATTAATTTTACCCCAAAATGAACGAAGAAGAACTTTATCAGCAATTATTGAGGTCAAATGAACTGTCAGCACCCTTGTGGGTCAGGATCTGGAATATCTAGGTTTTAAATGTGAAAGTTCATCATGAATCTTCTCTTTGGATATTGTTTCAGAGAGCACAGAGATTGGAAACTGACATAAACACTTAGCTAACAAGATGGGGAACATAAAGGTCTTTACTATATTTAAACATAAAAACCCTGGAATCAATATTCCAGTTTGATAAAGGGAAATGGATGTTAAGGGTAAAAACTGGGTTACTACAGTACTGCTGCCTGAGCTTTTCCCCAGCCTGTAGTCTCACCACTTTTTACTATATCTTAGCTCTTGTGGCTAGGAGAACCCCTTTGGTTGTTTTTAAACTGGTACCCTTCCCTTAATGATATCAGAATAAAATGACCTTGTAAGCATTTTACTTGTATTGCTACATATCATTCCCATTAGGTAAGGAAATGGAAAGAAAATTAAACTACTAATCCAAAGTCAAATAACTAGTGAACAGCCATATCAGGTAGTTAGTCTTAAAGCTTTGGACCTTTTAACCTTTATGCTATAGCTGCTCCTCAGAAAAATATTTATAGATAAACGCTCCAAGTCTTATCCTGGTAGACAATTTTCTCCAGTGAGGGATCTCATCTTTCCTAACTAGCCTTAGCATCCACTGCTCTAGGAGCTGTCGTCTTTTACATTGTTCATAACTCTCTCCTGCCTTTACTTATGAAATTCACCGGAGAAGATTATTTCTCCATTTGTTCCCCTCTCTAATACCATCACGTGTGCCATTCTACCCCAGAATTTATGCACTGCACTTAATCCTGAAAGGTCTCCCTCAGTGACATTTCCTACAGGTTCCCATCCCATCTATTATGTGCACTGTCATGTTGGGCCTGGTTTTGTGTTAGGTTGTTTTTCTTCTTTATCTTCCCTTTATTTCTCCATTCACTGGATTTCACAAGGTCACTGCCCAAAGAGCTAAGCCTAATAGGTGCTTTATAGAAACAAGTTAATTTTTCTCATCAGTTTCACTATTGTTAAGAGATTAACACTGAAGTATTTCATCAAGATTCTTATCTATGTGAACACAAAACATTTCGATATTAGTTCTACCTATAATTCTTTGGTTAATACTTCAGGCAGTCTTAAAATTCATCAGTGACACATTTCTCAATGATAATAAGGAATCAAATGAAGAGTCCTCAATTCCTCACGAATTAGAAATTCCACATTGGAGCTCTTTGTCTTTTGTATTTTATTTAGTACCACCAATTGAGAGTAGTTGTTATTTGAACTAAAGTATTCTTTTTAGAATACTTTTGCTTTCATCTGGTCTGCAATTTATTTCCTAGTTGTTTTCTCTAGGGAAGTTAGTTATGTTCTGAAGATTAAAAGTAACTTCACAGGCCATTATTATATTTTTTATAAAAAATTAAGTAAGTCTAAGGAAATTTATAAAAATTAGAATGGCATTCTTTTTTATAATTAACTATACATGACATTACATAGAATGGTATTCTTTAAGTCTATTTTAGGTGGTAGAAGTCTGTTGTCGGTAACTACAGTTTTTCTGTCTTATTTTCAATCTGTAACAATTGTATATTGCATTACTGGTCCTGGGAAATATTTAGAGTTGATTAATTCTCATTCTAAAATTTCAAAATATTCTGGCTTATTTTCTTTTGTAGATTTTTAACCATTTATCCCCAATGTCTCATGTGACAGCATCACCTTAGTATTTGAATTGCATTCAAGACAACGGACCAGCTCCAGGATTCTTGAAAACTATTCAATTTTTAAAACTCAAGATCATTATTTTTTAGAAGTATTATTGGTTTAAGAGCTCTTCAAAGCCACTAAAGTGAATTTATTAGGTTTTTTTTAAAATCACATATAACCCAGATATGGTTATAGATATTTTAAACTGCATTAGAATCAAGATTTTCTAATAAATAAGCCATTTTGTTCTGAAGACCATAATTCAGAAAAATCCCTTGTAATCCTTTTTCTGTTCTAGAGAAGAAAAACTGTTTTCTTTCATTGAGACTTTTAGGGACTACTGACCAACATATATATATATATTTTTTTCAAATACTTATAGAAACTTAGAGTGATTTTGAAAGAGATGTATGAAGAAACTATATGATCACAAGACTACACTTTTCTCATGCTCATGTTAAAGAGAACAAAAGAATTCTTTAAATGTCTTATAGAATCTTGGAAAAATATTTTGCCAGTGAAATAGTTATATGTTTTTTTTTTCTCAGAAAAGATTTGTGAAAGAAGGGGATTACAGAGATTTAACATTTTCATATAAGTAATAAGTTTGTGCTGGATGTACTATTTTGTATCTGTCTGGCAATTTCTAATGTGCAGTCAGTAAAATGAAGAATTGAAACAACTCTCAACAACCTCAAAACTCTATTACAGATTTAAATCATTCTAGTTTATTTTACATTCTATCACATCTATATTTTGTCTACCAGGTAATAAAATTTGTGATGATAACTTGGATTGACAGTTAAAGTGCCTGTATTTTTTCTCCCAGAGGCAATTCAGGACTCTTTGAGTCATTTATTTAATCATTTTTACCTCCCCTGTTTATACTTTAGACATAGCAAACCACAATTATAATCTCAAATGGACTTGATAATGAATGAAATAATTTTCTCATCCTTCTAATGCATTTAAAATATATGGATAAAACATACATATGAACCATTATAATACATTAAATCACTGTTTTTATTCACATAAGTACTAAAGTTGGTGAAGTCTTTTCTTCTTGTACTGTTGCCTGGAAACTATCAGATCATGAACAAATCTTGTCCTCAGAAAGTTTGAATTCAACCTTATTTTTAAGCTTTAAGTTTAAATTTATTTTTAACTGATACTTACAAACTTAAAAATTATATACATTTAGAGTGGAACCTAGTGATGTTTCAATACATGTACTCATTGTGTAATGTTTTTGTCAGATAAAACATCTCACTCTCCTCAAACATTTATCATTTGTTTATTACGAAAAACATTTAAAATCTTTTCTTCTTGATTTTTGAAATATATAGTATATTATCATTATCTATGTGCAATAGCACACTAGAATCCTTACTTCTAACTATAACTTAGTACCTATCAATCAACCTCCCCCACCTTTTCCTACTCTCCCCTGTCTCTGGTAGTCAATATTCTACTCTGAACTTGTATGACTACTACTTTTTTGGATTCTTCATTTCTAATTTTACCATTTGATATTTTTATTTATGTGCCTAGATTATTTCATTTAACATCATGATCTCCAGTTCTATCCATGTCGTTGCAATCTTTTACCATTTTCCTTGAACCTTCTTCTCCTCTTACAATATTGTCTTAGTTAAAACATCATTATCTATCTAGTTACCCTGGTTTGAAACCCTTCTGTAATATCTGACTTCTTACTTTACTAGACTCCTATCAACCCATACATTCATTATTAAGTCCTGTTGAGTCTGTAAAAAATTTATTGATGTTATCCACATTCTTTCTTTTTCCCTTACTTGTCCTATCACAATGATCCTTTACTGGTTTCTTTGCTTCTATTTTTATCTCCTGTTGCAAGATAACCCTTGCATCCACATTATTTCCAAACATTGAATGATACAACAAATAACTTTTTTGAATGCTTACTACTGTATC